ATGTTGCACGCAAAACCGATGTATGACGATCGGAGTCATCAGTCCTAAGTAGGGGCCTACAAGGAGAGAGTTATTAATGGGGTGGGGAGAGGGGGAAGAAAAAGTATGTGAAAATCGTAAAAAAAAATCGTTCAGCTGTAGCACCCTTCCGGTGCCTTACTGCCATGCCATCCGAAGGTTGCACGAGGGCTGGGATACTGCCAGGCTGCCCAAGCCTAGACAGGGAATGTCGGAGGGCAGAGGGCGGATTCGAACCACGAACCTTCCGATCGGTAATTTCGCGCTCTAGCCACGTCGGCCGTCTAGTCATCAGAGCTCATATTTGCCGTTCGTCTTCAGAGCTAAGAACGGTGTTGTCTGGAACCTCCAGATCGACAAAGTTCTCAAGAAGGGGTTTGAATACATGGGTTCCAAAGATCTTCCAGTGTTCTCCTTGTTTTATTGATGAGGAATCGGAACGAGACGAGAGAGCGGACATCTTGCCGGACACCACACCTTGTAGGAGGTTCGTCCTACACTCTCGCACGACTCCAATTATGCGGAATACACTTTTACAAGACATCTGAGGCGTCACCTGCTTAACAAGCATAGTCGGGAGGTGTGAGCAACCGATAGAGTCTGACGTACCCTAGAAGTCAAGGAACACCAAGTTTTTGGGTCGCCTTCACGTGTGGCGTTACTCTAACACCCGACTGAGTGTGAAGGTATGCTCGACGCTGTCGAGATCTCTCACGAATCAAGATCCGCAAGATCATAGAGCCAATACTTTACACCAGTAGTTAAACTGACGCCCCTCTGGTTCATCACAGTTGCCTTGGACGGTCTATTTTTTATATAGACGCAACTAGGTTAGACACACACCATCATATGAATCCCCTCACTGTCCTTAAATGGATCAGATGGTAGGTCATCTCTATTAGGAACATGATGGGATATACATTCAGACACTTCTGCGGCTGACGGAGGTCCCATATTCAATGTCTGATTTTCCGTCAAAAGCCGACAGTCCAGATTGAAGGTAGCAGATGACCGTTCGAAGTATTGTGTCTGGTGATCTAAATGTCCTCCTTTTCTGGATATTAGATAGCCATTGCTATCCTTACTGGTTACGTTGACAAGGTGCTTCCGAGGACCGGTCGACTGAATAAAGTAGAACAACCTGCGAATGTTTCCAGTGTCTTTCACCTCCATTTCTTTGAATTTTTGGATCCACCAAATTCAGCGTTACTTGCCATCGGATGATTGTTCGAATTGGATTGTGATCGCGACCAGGAGGATCTGTCTCTGGGCCTCCAGAAAAGTCAGGCTTATATCGGCGATTCAATGCTTGGAAAAGGTTGTCTATGTTGTACCGCGGATAGAAGTTCCGGCCTCATATATAGACTTACGTATCTCGTCCCAGTGGGGGTTATGATTCGATGTCAGATCAACAGACAAAGGTTGGGGAAGTAGGTTCTGCTTCATTTGTTTGGTTTTTGGGTTCACAGGCTTCTCTTAACGTACGCAGTGTGCGGTTTGCGTCGACCTGAAAAAAGCAGCGATGGACAACTGAATGATCGTTAGGTGTAATAGGAGGAGCGGCAGAGAGCGATCTACTCCCGTTACTGGTAACTGGCGACAGTGCAATTTGTTTGAGCTGAAAAATTGTTTGTTCGTGAGCACGTGTCAATGGGGGCGAGATGGCCCAAGTGGTTAGAGGGCGAATTTACTGACCGGAAGGTCCGTGGTTCGAACGCGACCTGTCTAAACTTAGGCAACCTGACAGTATCCCAGCCCTCGTGCTTCCTTCGGGTGCACTGGCAGCCAGGCACCGCGAAAGGTGTTGCAGCTGAACGATTCTGATACTTTTATCCAGCTGCAGCGGGCACCACTTCACCAGCTAGAGGCGAGAATTGAGCGATGGACAGTCAGTTCGAGTACAGTGCTGGCGTCTTGAATTCTTGTTGACAGACAGTCTACGTCAGTGCGGAGGGAATCCAGCGTGCAGCCAAGAGCCATTTGTTGCCCTCCTCGATTTAGTGTGCAAACATAAAGGGCAGCTAAGTAAATCGGCTTTCTTGGTTTGAAAAACACTTCGCGGTGTTTAGGGCTGGTACTGAAGAGGGATGTACAGAAGCTGCAGCTGAGCATAATGCATGGCAAACAAAGCAGACAATCGTAGTTTTTGGACCTGCAAAGGGAGTACTCACACTCAGAGGAGGAGTTAACAAGGAACACGCGAAGGTTCTTTACTGAAGGGTCATCTTTGTTCATTATCTAACTGAAATAAATCCCTTTGATGGATATTCTATCAATTCTGAAGAGGTTTGACGTTGTAGCTTTTTTCAGATTGATTTTGCTCCTTCAAATTCCCCGTATCTCTGTCGCCCTCTACATTTGACTTTCGAGCGATAAATGACGAAGAAGACACAAGCACATGTGATCAGTCCATTCAAAAGCTTTGTTGCTGGCGGATTTGGTGGTGTGTGTTGCGTAGCCACGGGTCATCCATTGGATACACTCAAGGTGAGTTCTTTTTGTCAACGTTTGTAAGGTTTACGTTCAGGTTCGACTTCAAACAATGCCACATGTTGGTCCCGGAGAAACACCCATGTACCATGGTCTGATAGATTGTGCCAGAAAAACCATCGCTGCGGATGGTTTCCTGGGGCTTTATAAAGGAATGGGTGCTCCGATTGTTGGCGTCGCACCAATATTCGCCATATGTTTTTTTGGCTATAACTGGGGAAAGAAGCTGTTTGCAGAAGATCCAATGCATCTAAGGTAGTCAGCTGCAACCAGTATAATGTTTCAGAAAGCACGAAATATTACTTTCAGGAATGTACTCTGGCATTTTCACCACAGTCATCATGGCTCCCGGTGAGCGGATCAAATGTCTGTTGCAAGTAAGTTCCTCAGTTTTTATTTCGAAACTAAACTTTATTCTACTTCCTCCTCCCCTGATTTTTTTGCTTGGTTTGGGCCGTCTTCGGTTGTTGAAACCACTGCACAATTGATTTAAACACGTTCTGTAGTTTTGGTTGCAGATTCGGAAGCAAACCTCAAGTTCGATTAAATCGCTTGTGGGAGAGATGAGATGTTACCTCATTTTGAGCTTGATTTAACTCATTCAGTCTGTCGTACGTGTGCTATGTTTTCTCCGCCTCCTTCACCAGAATGTACTAATTGAAAGTGGATGCTTCCGGATTCACCTACTGCTGAGTGACCATTCGACTGACCGCTTTTCCGGTTCCACATTTTTCCGATATCACGGGGCGTCAGAGCATTCTATTTGAAGTCGAGAGCCATATACTTTTGAATTCCATTTTTTTCGTTTATCTTCATCACTTTTGTCTTATACTAGTAAGTTTTCTGTCCCTAAAGGCACAAGGATCCAAGTATTTTACAAAATCTGGTTATCCTTTTGGATGTGAAATTTTTTCTCTTCTATTCACCGGCTCCAGTTCAGGATTGAACGAAAGTCAGCCCCGGCTAATAGCACGTATGTTAACACACATGCAACACTACTCAATGCAGGACCGTCGACCTGTCGCTACCCTCCACTACGCTCCCCAATAACTCACTGATGTCATCTCGATTGATAATCGAACGTTTGCAATCAAATTGCCCAGTTCAGTGAACAAAACAACGGCCATTCTACGCTACTGAGCCATCAACATTATCCTCAATATCGACTTGTATTTTAACAACTCTATTACAATTGCACCCGCTAAATCTTAAGATTCCAAGCAACTGCTTTCAACCATTCCCGGCAGTGTTTATCGTAAGGAGAGTCTGATCGTATAGATAACATTGAGAGTGCGATTTTCCTTCCAGCGAGTTGTTGAAAAGAGTACTTTGATTATAGTGCATCTTACATGGGCGTCTCAAAACCCTAAGTGTTTGTTGACCTTCCTTTTGTGGGAGGTGATAAATAAAAGTGGGTTGTGTGACTTACTGCATCTTAGTTTCATACCTTTCACCGTTTCTGTTTAGGGACACGATTCTTGCTTCCTTTGGCCGTCGGAGGACCTCTACCTGATGATATTCTGAGCATGTGCCATTCTTAGGTGCGTCACACGTAGGAAATAGCCCTCGAGTACAGATTGGAGTAGAAAGATAAATTTTGGGAATGAATATCTGTGGAAAAGGATACAGAGCAGGCTGCATGCACCTGCCGGCATTAAAACAACCATTGAACATCACGTCGGGGTAGACGCTATATGCAGAGTTGTCCCTGCATCGGTTGTGAACATCACCCGACACAAACCCAGCGTACAATGACAGGCAAACTTTAACTAGAAATTCCGGTTAGGAAACGACAGCACTTTCGCCACCGGTCTTGGTTACGTCCCACGTCTCGCAGCGTTTCCAGTCATGGGCACTGAGAATTACATGGATCTTAGGAAGGTACGGAAATTTAACTGCATTCGCTTTCTCTGAAGATGCTTCCATTTTGCGATACTTTTTAATCTGACCTCCACGAACTGTTTACCTACGGGTGCTTCCAAGACGATGATTGGTCCTGCGTAGCACATACTTCAACATGATCCTCCAAAAGAAAACTAGAGTTTTAATCGCGCGATATAGGATACGCCTTTTTCTTTTCAGTATAACTAATCAGCGTTGACCCCCTGCAGAAATCACTAACCATGAATGATTTCGCCTCGTCTTCGTTTATTTCAAAGTTGGAGTTCATTGCACCTGCCAAAATGCCTCATCTTCAGTTGCTAATTAGGGGTCCTTTCTTATTCAAGACACCTGTTGCCTGGTCGTATGTGACACTCGGTTTGTGGCCCTCGCTGCTTTACAAATTTTTTGGTAACGATGCGTTTACAAAACTCTGTTGAGAGAGATTGGTTAAGAAATTCCATGATATCATTCTACGCAGCTAAATTGCATACATGATAGAACAGTATAAACCTACTCTGAAAACATTCTGCAATAAGTGTGAAACCTTTTGTAAACCAAGATCTCTCGTGAATCACATCGAACTGAGACCTCCCAAGTCACTTTATCTCCACCTCTCGTCAAGAGGTGATGTTCTAAGCGAAATTCTAGATGTAAAATTACACAGGGCTTTTACCAAAACTCCGTGTCGTACGTGGCTTTCACCAACCCACTTTCTCCTCAAACGAGAGATAAAAGAAAAGCTCCCTCGGTAGACCGCTTCAGTCTGTCCATCAGTTTGCCCGCTCCCTTGGTGATATCTACATTGGTCGAACAACAAGGTAATTATCAAAGCGTATGTCTGACAATATGCCCTCTGTTGCAAAGAAGATAGCTGCGCAAAGTAAGTAGTTCTGTTTTAGCCCGTCTCGCTGACACCAGCTGCAGGATGCGAGCTTCTCGCTGAGAAGAGCCCCGGGTTTCGAACCCACCCCGGCTTTTTGAATGTTCAGTTTTGTGTAACTTACCATTGTCCTAACCGTCATTTATCGTCCCATTTGTGTGGTTGCGCCGAAAGGCTAGTATAACTGAACTGTATATAATTTTGATGCCCCCTGTTCTCTTGAACGGATACAACTACCAGTTCACTTCACTTTGGTAATTGGCTTAGCAAGTCTTTTAAGATGCAATTCCTGGCTCCATCGACCAACCATATCCAAAACTCAGATCTCGCTGTTTCTTCCGTTTGGTATTGCTTCTGCGTTAAACAGTGTGGTACCACCGGAGCATCCATCTAATAGCCATAAACCACGCACATTCTTGATTCCTCCCAAACGCTAGTTCCTAGTCCTTCATCCATCTGACTCATCATTGGGAATGATAACCGATGGCTGATTCACTCAAGCCTAGCAGGCCTAGCAGACCCGTGGCAATGACATGAATTGAGGTGCGTTTTCTGATTAAAAAAACTTCTAAACTTCAGTGCCGGCATCAAGTTCTGAATGGTCATTCCTGTCGTTTTTCAGGTCCAGAGCGCATCCCATGGGCCGCAGAAGTACAAAGGCCCCATAGATGTAGTCCGTCAGCTTTATCGTGAGGGTGGTCTACGAAGTTTGTACCGAGGGACCGCAGCGACCTTACTCAGAGGTAAAGAATGTCATTTTAACCCTGTTTGGTGGAGCAGTCCTACTCAGAGTAGTCCTACCTGATCGTCTTCAAATATTTGATCATCGCTGTCTTCGTAGCATAGTAGATGTTAGTCGATTGAAGTATGTCCGTGATGAAATGATTTGGAAGCAGTACTTGTTGGAGAGAGATTCGTGGGGGACAGGTCATGACTTCGCAATGTCAAATAGAGGTGGCTGTCGTCAACTTGGATGCTGTGGGTGTCTTCCTGAGTTGGAACTACGTGGTTCTTTTAGCTCGTTGTTGTAAACTCTAGGATCTGTCGCGTAGCTGATCTCATTGGCGGGGTTGCTGTCACTTCTTGGCAGGTTGCCATAGGTGTGTGATGTGCTTTTGTTGAGTAGGGTTCGGAGTGAACCGACCAATCCCACCGATGGCGTCTTTTTCTGACCAGTTCCTGGGTGTGTTTACTTCTATTATTTTGGAAGTTGTAGGCACCTTCCCTCCACAATTTTCTCTAGGAACATGAGCTTTTTGCAATTAGTTCCCACTTTCTATTCTTTGCGTGCGTTAAGCACCAGCTTTCATCGCTGGCGATGATGAAGACGATGTGAATTCTTCCGGGCACTTATATCTTTGAGGATCTTTAAACCTCTACATCCTCAAACTGTCACTTTTCACATGAAATGTTTTCACAGAATCCTTTCGCTTCCGACGCGAAGTTCTCTGCGTTTCTTATCCTCCTTACTGACAGCTGGAACCAATGTACTGCAGTACACGGCTCATGACTTACACACAGCACTAAAGTAATTCGAAACATCCCAGGAGTTCACAGTCTCTCATAGTTGAGGTTTCCGGGTCTTACAGGCTTCGTAGCCATATCGCACACTCCTTTGCTTGGCAGTCTTGTCCGCGATCAAGTTTCTGAAAAGCCGGTTTTAGCGTACTGCATCGGGTGCGGTCATATAGGTTAATTTCGGTGTTGGACTATCCAGTTGGGAAGTCAGGATGTCTGTGCAGTCCCCAGTTGTTAAGAGGAGCTTCATTTTGTACAACCGCAAAAATCTCCAAGAAAGTAGTCATGGTCGATGCATTTTCCGAATCTGTGCAGGTTTTCCGAAAGGACTAACACGGATTGATTGAGACTGTCGACAACTGATGGAGTTTTAGGGTCAGTTCACTAGTAGCCCATTCGAACCCCATCAGTACCAACTTCACTCACTCTCGTGCTCATTTCCGATCGTGCTTGGATTATTCTGATTCTCCGGGAAATGAAAAACGGATTCTTGGGGCGTATGCAGACTCGGTGGTAAAAAAAAGACACTGCGCCTGTTGTTTGTACGTCTTTCACATATTCATAAACCGGCCAAATACCAGTGATTAGCTGCAGTTAATCAGTGAGACAGGTCATTCTATTTATTAACTCAGCGCAGTAGCCTGTGCGTCATATTGAGAGCATCAAACAAAGTGAACTAGCAAAATGGCCTTGCTTTTCATTCTCGGAGTATGTAAAGGTGTTGAGACTGACCTACTCACAAGTGTTGCAGAAAAGTCTAGAGCGAGCCAAGCATCATCAGCATCAGAGATCCGACCATCCTAACGGACGGATCTAAATAGTGTGATCGGAAGCGGAAATGTAAAACTTACAAAGCTGACTCTTGTATCAGTAGAGTGATTTTCTCTACAATCAGATGTGTCGGCCACCTGTGAGCTGGCAGTATTGTGTGAAAACGATATGAAAAGTCCGACTATTGGTTTTTTGTCTGTTCACCGAGCTTGGCAGTTGGGTCAACCCTGCACAGACGATGTCACCTCGGTTGGTGATGAAACGTTTGCAATCCAAATGCCAAGCTCGGCGAACAGACCAACAACAAAACAGCGCACCCGAGCTACCTACATTCCACAACATTGATAGTCCGATTATTTTCCATGTTGCTTTCTTTCTCTGTTCGTGGCTGTTTCGTCCTCTCTACATTTGAATGAAGGCGACACCGACCTGCGTTGCTGTCAGTTTTTATCCCACTGCTCACACTTACTGCTCGGAGGTTTAGTCATCTCGTAATATTTGTAGTAGGTTGACAGTGGTCCCCTTCCTTGTCTTTTCTCTTTTCCGTCTTTAGTAAATTCTTGTGGTTGTGTGACGGTAGAGCACGAATATCTGGAAGTAATATGGCCGTCAACGATCACCGTTCCTGAACGAGTGTCAGTAAATGAAACGAAAAGCTTTACAAGTCCCTTTTACTCTGTGTACCTGTGTGACTTTCATTGCACAACAGTTTAACGAAGAAAGACAATTTGTCCTCAAAACACGTTCTCATCAATTCAGGAAGGCTATTTTGTCTCACTTCTTGAACTGTAAATTTTTATACGCGACATGTTTGCCCTCTGTCAACTTTGACCCTGGTTTTTCTTTCAGACGTCCCGGCCTCTGGTGCCTACTTCCTCAGTTATGAGTGGATCAAGGACGCCCTACGCAAGACCGGGGAGACGTAAGTCCCAATCCACGTACAAGTTATTCGCCTTCATGTTCAAGGGTCTTTTTTATGTACAATTGGAGTTCGGGAACAAGCAACCCGTTCATATTTTATCTACATAATGGATTGTTCCAGATGGATCTGGTTTACTGATGGCTGGACGATTTTATGGTAACCCGAACTGCTAAATTTGACCCCACGTAAAGGTTTGTTGGCCTTGAAGCTTGATGTGTGCAGTCCTAAGATTTCGTTGCAGTCAGTTGATAAGGTGGTTTATTTGCGATGACTGTGTACGCACACTATAATCCGATCATCATCATCATCATCATTAGGTTTGTTGGAAGCTTGATGTGTGCAGTCCTAAGATTTCGTTGCAGTCAGTTGATAAGGTGGTTTATTTGCGATGACTGTGTACGCACAGCACACTCCGATCATCATCATCATCATCATTATCGACAGCATGACATCAGTGTTCAACACTGATGCTGCACTGCCGTACAACCATGGTTTATCTGAAAGCCTTATTGTAAAGAAAAGAGTAAAGGTGGACGTGGAAGGGACTTCCTGCTAGCTTACCACAATCATTCCGAGGTGCCTACACCTCCAGACATTCACTCAGGCAATCTGGATAGAAACTGACAACAAGAACGCCATTGACATCGGTTGGCAGCCATATCCTGTAGTGTCTCCAACCAGGCACAGTGAAGATCACGCGGCCCCCGTCCTCAAAGGCGAGTAGCGCCGACAGCACCCAAGCGTTTCGTGATCTCCTCCATACTCCTCTGCCAAATCAAGGATTGGTCACCTCTCTGTTTACGCCACTCTGAGTTGGGCATGGAAACAGCACTCTCTTCGGCAAACGATGGTTCGGCATACGTAATACATGTCCCAACCAACGCAGCTTCTGGTGCTGGACACATTCTTCAATGGAAGTACCAGTTGCACAACCGAAAACGCGCTTTCTAACTGCCTCGTTACGGATTCGCCGACACCAACCCACACGAGCTATGGTTCTGAGACAACGATTGTCGAACACTGAAGACGTCTCGGTCCCGCTGCTCGAATAGGCCAAGTCTCACAGCCATACAACAAAACAGCCCGTACTGTAGCTTGATACACACGTCCCTTCAGATTCAGGGATAAACCATTCTGACGCCATAGGCGTCTCATGTTAGCAAACGCGGCCCGAGCTTTGCAGATTCGTGCATTCACCTCATCCGTCACACTACAGTCAGAACTAATACAACTTCC